CGCCTGTGAGAATTCATGGGGGCATGGCCGGGGCACACGGGACATGTCTGCTACTGATGTGTTATTAACCGCTGCTCCCACACCGGTCCCCCCCCAGAGCACCTCCTCCTTTCTGCCCCATCCCCTGGGCAGCCAGCACCTAACCGGGGAGGCTGCCGGCCACCCTTCCACACCGTGAAAGGAGAGGGGCCTTTGGATTTCGGTCAAAGCCAAGAAAAATAGACCTAACCTTGGCAGGCCCGTGGACTGAGATGATGGAGGGGAAATTTGCACTGGGAAGGATGCCTGAGGTTTCTCCAGCTTTCGACACTCCTCAGGAATCAACCACTTAGCATGAGTCACTTGACCCCTGAGGGCCTCCATTACCCCATTTCTAAGAGACCCTGGGAGCTGGTTCCGACACTGGGGTCTTTGCAGCCCCTTCAGGATCAGAAGCTATGGGCGGGAAGACCAAGGTGGGTACCATCTAAATCTTTACAGACACCACCTCACCTCCTGCGCTAGCCAGAAAATATCTTTTCTGTGTCTGACTTATAATGAATCTGGGTAAGGTTTCATTTGAAACGTTTCACAATGGAAATGAGGTTGAGAACCAATGGATCCTTATGCCCATTCCAGCTAAAAATTTCTATGACACCAAAAATATGCTGATTTTCTATTCTACCAAATTTATTAAGGTGGTTCAAACTTGATTATCAAAAATCTTTATTTTTAAATTTAGCAAAAAAAAAATCATAATAAATATATTGTTCATATATCAGTATTAATAGTTAGTGACAACTCATTTTTGCTCCATTTACTCCATCAAGGGACCTAATCTAGGCCATTTACATCCCCAGTGGTTAGTTTGCCTTAATTCCATGACTAAACTAACCCCCTTCTTCATTTACGACTGTGTAGATATGAACATAAAATGAAATAGGAAAAACATAGTTAATCTGATCGCATTTATAAAGCCCCGTAATGACTAAAATCCACTGATCCTGTGTGTTGATGACATAGGACCCGAGTGAATATAAACTTGCGATCGGTTCAGTGCAAAGGCTGAGCTGGGGAGTCGGCTCGCCCACAGCGGCTCAGACCCTTCCAAACACCGTTCCCGCTGGCCGCGCAGCGTCAGGCGGGCCCAGGCCTTGGGGGACCGTGGGAGCCGCAGTTTAGAGTTGAACGTTCGCTCCTCTGCGGCACAGGAGGGCAGGGTGTCCCGTCCACAGTGGCAGAACCATCCGGTGACCCCGACCCGCGTCTCGTAACTAGAAGCAAATGCCCTTCCCCTTTAGGGAATTTGTACCAGCAGATGAACATGTGGGCACAGCATCCGGTCAGCTCTTCCCAACAGTTGCCCCTTCCACTCCCTAAAGTCGGCATTCGGATGCAAACCATCAAGTAGCTTTGGGGAAAAGCAGAAGTAGTAGTTGGCAAGGGGGGAATGGCGTCGGTCAGGGACGCACGTGGGGCAGCTGATCCCTCGGGAAGGGACGGGAACCCTCGAGCAGAGCTGTCGACGAGCCGCACAGGCCAGGAGCCCGGGCGAGAGCCCGCGGGCAGAAGGCGGGATCCTCACACCACTGAGCTGAGCCCGCGATTTGCCGAGAAAACACACGGCGCGGATTCCTGCGGCCACGGCGACTTGCTGTCTCCCCCTGTTTCTGAACTGAAGTCGAGTGTCAATGTCTCTCTTCTTCAGACTCTGTGGCCTTTGTCACACACACAGTGGGGGCCGGGAAGGAGCCGCGCTTCGCTCCCGAGCTCCGCGGTGTAAAACGCCATCGGGAAGGGCGGCTCCACCTCTTCCCGGGGGCTCCCGTGTCCCCGCCAGGGCTTTGATAAGCATTCAGGTGGCCCCGGCGGGTGGGCAGAGCTGGGGTTCCCGCCTTTACCTCCCGGGCCAGTGCCCGCACGGCCCTCCCACGGTCAGGGGACAGCTGGGCCCGCACCCGCTGGTCACCCCTCTCACGGCTGAGACCTCGGAGCACCCGGCTCGTCTCACTCACGCCCCCTCTCCAGGGTCAACGGCACCTGCCCAGCAGCAGGTGCCCGACCAGTGCTTCGGAAATGACGGGAGAACAGAAGGAGCTGAAGAACAAAGATCTTTTTATCAAACGAGAAGCATTTGCTCTAAGTTCCCACACATCCAGAAGCAATTTCTGTATTTAGGTGAAACAAGTCTCAAGTTGCGATGAGTGTTCACAGCTATCACAGGTATAAGACATGAGAACTCTGAAAGTCACTTTCTTTTAATGGCTCAAACGGCAACTTTCAGGCTGCGGCCAGAGTATAATTCTACACATATTATACATATAATTTAAAACACAGAAAACAATTTCGGGTCTTTGACTCTCCCTCAGGCAAAATCCACGTGCAGGAGCCAATTACAAAAATCAAGGATACTGTGAAGAAAATTCAGGAAGCACAGAAGGGCATGTGTATTAGGACAAGTCCACGTCTTAAAATGCTTTTTAAATTATTTGTTTTTAAGTCTTCTGAACCAACCCACACAAAAAAGCCTCAAGTTAACTGGCAATGAAGAATAATTTTTAATCTTTCAATTTTTAAAAATCTCATGAAATAGAGATTAGAAACAAAAGCACAGTGCCTGATACAATGGGCCCTCAGCAAATATTTATTGAAAGGTTGGACAGAAAAATAAATGAAAGACAGAAGCCTAATATGGGCTGACTCTGAACTTGTGTGAGTCACTCATTCAGACCATTTAAAGGGGCCTCTGTACAAGACATTTCCCTGAGATGTCGGTTTCCTTTCCTGGTGACATTTCGTTAACATCACCTTCTGAATTTTAATAATATTCCATCATAATTTATTTTGCTTTAATATATGAAAGAGTCTGTTGCCTTTAAAACTAAAAGAAGGAACCAAAAGACCTTCTAAAATAGTTTTACGTAAGAAAGAAACAACTGAAAAGAACAGTAGTTAGTTATGAGTTGGCTCCTGGCTCCTGAGAGTGTGACCATGTACAGGAAGACTCACCCCCCCAAAACTGGGACTCATTTCAAGACGACGTATCCACTGTTAGTAATGTTTACTTGTGTATGGTTTATTTACCACGTTTTAAGGAGGAAAAGCGACATATTTTACCCACAAGTGATCTACTTTACACCCACCCATTGGCCCATCCACGCAAATGTCGTATTTATTGAAGGCCTACTTCCAGAACGTTCCAGAACATTCCTGCGCGAGGCTCCAGAGCACCTTCCCAACCAAGAGTCCTAAACCCTTCAAAACGCAAGCTGAAACACTGATTTCTTTAAGTTCAGTTTTCCTACTCTTATTACATAAGGGGGGGGCGGGAATCCCACATCCGCTGTGACACTGCGGGCTGAGCAGCACGAAGGGGAGAGCGTGTCCAGGTCAGCTTTCTGTCGTCCGGCTGTGAACCCAGTTACTGGGACTCTGAGGGTGCTCATTAAGTGTCGACTGAATAAATGACGGAGCAGACCAAGAAGTGCAGACTGGTAGTTACAGGATAGCCACGGGACGTCACGCACGGCCCGGGAAACGGTCAGTAACACTGTAGTAAATGCGCATGGTGCCGGGTGGGCGCCGGAAACATCGGGGGGAACTAACTGACTTTGTAAGTTAGGTAATTGTCTAACCGCTATGCTGTGCACCTGAAACTAATACAAAATAGTGCTGAATGTCAACTGTAATTGAAAAATACAATTTAAAATAACATTAGGAGTAATAGCTGGAAGTTCAGGTGAGAGAATGTAGAAAAGCAAACCGGGAGGAACAAAGACACTTACTTCCAGGTAACTTAGCACTTATGGGGACTTCAGGATAAAGTCACATGCTTAAAATGAAGAAAAGAGGAAGGTTAGGTGCGACTGTGAATTGTAAGTGGTTTATAATTTTGAAAAGCAAGGGATTTATTTATTTTTTACTAAAAAAAGAAGTCTGTCTCTCTCCATAGAGGCCACATCCCCAAATATATTTCTCTCTGCCCTGTCTTATCGCAGAGCCAGTCAGCCGTGCATTGGCAATGTCGCAGTTGGGCAGAGACGAAAGAGCAGGGGTAGTCCCAGCCCCATTACTCGGCCAGTGGGGGTGCTGGAGCTCAGAGCCCCAGAAGAGTGGCCCCACCCCGGCCCGCGGCCCACTCCCCGCAGGCAGAGCCCCCAGCGGTCACCGGGGGAGCGTGTCAGTCCAAGGACTGAGCTGTCTGAAAACGCAGCACCTATCAACACTGCGACTGGGTTTTGCATTGCTTATTTTTATGTGATAAAGACATCAGTATCCATTTAAAAGAAGGAATATGTAAGTGCCTGTTTTATTGCTGTAATAAAGTTACTTTTTCCCTGTTAGGGACTAATGGGATCTAAGTGATTTTCAGGGAAAAGTAAAAGTCGAACGTGAATCTGAATTTCACTTCTTCAGGATGACACTCCACAGGTGCATCTACGGCAAGTCAGACTCCTTCCCCTCCCGATGCTGCAGAATTCCAGTCCCTGGACACAGAGGAGGCGGGAGACGGGTGTGAATGAGAACGGGGGTCCAGCCAGGTGCCAGGGCTTTCTGTTCGTTTTACAGTCACGCCCTGCGGACCTGAGAACCACAGGCTACCGCATCCGATTGCATTAAACAGTATCGTTTCTTTACAACCTTTAATTTTGTCTAAGAGGGAAAAGCACCCATCACCCCTGAAAGGATTTTTTTCCCCATTTACTAATTGTCAAAGAGAATGACAAATATAACAAACAAAAGTAAAATGCATAAGCAAGTAAAATTTGGAAATAACAGAAAATTTGTGGAAGCGGGTTCATTATGTTTAATACGATTTCAGCCTCCTGAAGGTTCCGCTTCCCAGGCTGCCCAGTGTCTGGGCCAATAACCATCAAGGCTACAGTCACCCGAACATACTGCGTTCACTGTCAACGCTCAGAGTGTCACCAATGAGATCACCGTCCGTAGTTCATGGATATTCATTATGGTATTTTTTTTCCCTTTGGGCTAATTCTTTCCTATGTTTTATATTATTATAGTTGCATCACACTGCCATTCCTGCAAGGACCGAACTGCCACGGGATTTGAATGTCACACCCGGAAGTAAATGAATTGCTCAATTTCCTGGGACCACCTGCTCACGCTCCATCTTCAAAACGTGCGTCCGTGTCCCGTCAAAGGGGCGATCGCGACCCTCCCTTCTCCAACATGCGCGACGTCTCCGGATGGTGCAACTGTGGCACGGGCACCTGGCTCCATGAAGGAAAACCCCGCGGCTCTATGGCGCGCATCGTTTGACAGGCGCGACTACTCCCCTCGTCGGTGGGCTCCTGCTGAACCCGCGAGCAGGGGCTGTGGAATCCTCAAGGGCCCGTGACACCGCTGAACAGGGCGCTAAGATGAAGGACATGCCACTCCGCGCACACGTGCTACTGGGCCTAGCGATCGCGACACTGGTGCGAGCCATGGATAAGAGGGCGGATTGCCCGCAGCTGTGCACGTGTGAGGTCAGGCCATGGTTCACGCCCCGATCCGTGTACATGGACGCGTCCACGGTGGACTGTAACGACCTGGGGCTCTCACGCTTCCCAGCCAGGCTGCCTGCCGACACCCAGGTTCTGCTCCTGCAGACCAACAACATCGCCCACATCGAAGGCTCCGTGGACTTCCCGGTGAACCTGACCGGCCTGGACCTATCGCAGAACAGTCTGTCCTCGGTCCGCAACATTAACGTGAGAAAGATGCCTCAGCTGCTCTCCGTGTACCTGGAGGAAAACAAGCTCACCGAGCTGCCCGAGAGGTGTCTGTCGGGGCTGAGCAGTTTACAGGAGCTCTACGTGAATCACAACTCGCTCTCTGTGATCTCGCCGGGGGCCTTCATCGGCCTCCACAACCTCCTCCGTCTTCACCTCAATTCCAACAGGCTGCAGGTGATCGACAGCCAGTGGTTTGACGCCCTCCCCAACCTGGAGGTTCTGATGATTGGGGAGAACCCGATCATCAGGATCCGAGACATGAACTTCAAGCCGCTCGCCAATCTCCGCAGCCTGGTTATAGCGGGCATAAACCTCACGGAAATCCCCGACGACGCCCTGGTCGGCCTGGACAACTTGGAGAGCATCTCTTTTTACGACAACAGGCTTAGGAAAGTGCCCCAAGCTGCGCTTCAGAAAGTGGCGAACCTCAAGTTTTTGGATCTCAATAAAAATCCCATCCACAGGATCCGGAGGGGCGATTTCAGCAATATGCTGCACCTGAAGGAGCTGGGGATCAATAACATGCCCGAGCTCATCTCCATCGACGGCCTTGCCGTGGATAACCTGCCCGATTTAAGGAAAATAGAGGCGACCAACAACCCCAGGCTGTCGTACATTCACCCCAACGCGTTTTTCAGACTCCCCAAGCTGGAGTCGCTCATGCTCAACAGCAACGCCCTCAGCGCCCTGTACCGCGGCACCGTCGAGGCCCTGCCCAGCCTCAAGGAGATCAGCATCCACGGCAACCCCATCCGGTGCGACTGCGTCATCCGCTGGATCAACATGAACAAGACCAGCGTTCGCTTCATGGAGCCCGAGTCGCTGTTCTGCGTGGACCCGCCCGAGTTCCAAGGTCAGAACGTGCGGCAGGTGCACTTCCGGGAGATGATGGAGATCTGCCTGCCTCTCATCGCGCCCGAGAGCGTCCCCTCCAGCCTGGACCTGGACGCCGGGAGCCACGTCTCCTTACACTGCAGGGCGACGGCCGAGCCGCAGCCCGAGATCTACTGGGTAACGCCCTCGGGTCAGAAGCTCGCGCCCAACGCGCTGACCGACAGGTTCTACGTGCACTCCGAGGGCACCCTGGACATAAGCCGCATCGCCCCGGCGGACGGCGGCCTGTACACCTGCATAGCGACCAACCTGGTGGGCGCCGACTTGAAGTCCGTCATGATCAAAGTAGACGGTTCCGTCCCCCAGGATAACAACGGATCCCTGAATATTAGAATAAAGGACGTCCGGGCCAATTCGGTTCTGCTGTCTTGGAGGGCGAGCTCTAAGGTTCTCAAATCCAGTGTCAAGTGGACAGCCTCCGTCAAGGCCGAGTCTTCCCAGGCCCCCCAAAGTGCGCGCGTGCCGTCTGACGTCAAGGTGTACAACCTCACCCACCTGAACCCTTCCACTGAGTATAACATATGCATTGACGTCCCCACCGTCTATCAGGAGAACAGGAGACGGTGCGTTAGCGTCACCACCAAAGGGTCGGACGCCGGCGGAGAGGCGAATGCGGGGAGCAGCCGCACCGCGCTCCTGGCCTGCCTTGGGGGCCTTCTGGGGGTTATCGGTGTGGCGTGTCTTCTCGGCCGCCTCTCGCACAAAGTGAGCGGCGAGGCCGGGCAGGGCCGCGCCAGCGGTTACCTCCCGAGGCCGGCCCTGGCGCTCAGCGAGCTTCACCCCCTCGTCGAGCTCTGGGAGGCCGGCGACGGGCAGAGCGCGGCACTGGAGGTGAGAGCCACCGTCCTAGGCGTGCCCGCGCGCGCGTCCTAGGCACAGCCGGGGCGCTTCGGGGGGCCCAGGGCTGCAGCTGTGCCGGGAAGGAGGAAAGACGGAGGGTGTCCCTTCCCCAGAGGAAGCTGGAGCTCCGCCAGTGCTGCTCCTACCAGCGGAAAGGTCTGCAAGCTCAGCATCTGGATTCGCTGGCTTCGAAGGGCACCGTGGCAACCAAATAATTCCATTTTCTAGGACTTTCACGTGACTCTGATGTCCGGACAACGGTTACGGTGGACGAAAACGTTTCTGTATTTTTTTTAAGTATATAAGCGTAGTGGAACTGAGCAATACCTCCTGCTGTGTTGTATCACACATATTAGCCACGAGTTTTTGCCGTGACCAGATACACTTGAATTGACACGTGGTGTAATAAAAACGGACAGATTCTGTAGAGTAGACACAGTGAGTATGTTGGCCTCTTTTATAAGGGAAAAAAAAAAAATACATTTTGGATTAAAATCAATTGCTTTTGTCTTGGTTTTGTTTCTAAATAAAGAATAATTTCTGGGAAATGTCATCGGACCAGACATCCTTTAAATGGCAACATTTTTAAAAAAGTGTTTTTCTATAATGAAATCCGAAGTGCTAAGAGTAAGACACATTCGCTGGGTTCTGTGACTACATTTTTATAACGCACAGAAATGGATTGGAGGAGGCACTTTCTCGATATTGAGAGGCAATCATCACGTTGGATTTAACCCTTTAATGGGTGATGAAAAGAAACCCCCTAGGAAATGATGTATTCACTTAGAGATTTCCTTTGCTTAACAAGAAGCTTTTGTAGTGGGTTTAATTATTGAGTTCATATAATGTAAATCGATATCTGAGGAACTGAAGGTCTTATTTTAATAATTAGTAGTAGCTCAACTTTAAGATGCTTGCTTAGCAGAAAACGGTGCCAAATTTCAGCAGGACTTATGATGTGGGTGGAATCTTCAGACCTCTCTGTGATTCCTAATACTTAATGCACTTCGCTGCGGCAACAAGCAAATAATGAAATAATTGGCCCTGTTGCAAACATAGCAACGGAACAACATGTTCTACATAATCCCCAAAAGAAGGACATTTATGCATTTATATAACAACTATATAACTTAGAGCAACTTATAGGTGCTGACTTGAAGTCTGTTGTGATCAACACGCATGGTCTTCCCCCAAGAATAACAATGAAATTTAGAATTTTAGAGGTCTAGGGCTTTCCAAGACTATAATTGTAGAATTTTCCTTTAAAATGTATTGAATTGGTAGCAGAAGTTTATAGGTTCAGCTTTATGAAATTCTCCCTTTTATTTGCTTCCCCCCACTATAAAATGGCATGAGTCAGATAATTCCAGAGTTCAATAGAAACTTAAGTGGAGAGTTTTCTTAATGAGAGGACAAGCGTCTCAGACAGATTTAGAGGCAAAAAAAAAAAAAAAAAAAAAAAG